CCTTTCAGTTCCTCATTCTGCAGCTTCAGTTATGAACAGCTCTAACTCATTTCCAGGAAGTAAATATCCCACTCTCCCACCAACTAATTAATATTTTTATATTAATTAGCTGAGCACAGTGGTGCACACCTGTTGTCTCAGGTACTCAGAAGGCTGAAGCAGTGAGCCCTGGAATTCTGAGGCTAGCCTGGGCAACATAGTGAAACCTAAGGGAAAAAAATCCTAGTTAATTGTAGTATAGAAATAAGTTGGGTTTGTTGTTATTGTTTTTGGTTTTGGGGGGGATTTTTTTTGGTTTTTTTTGACACTGTGTGTGTTTTAAGATAGCTTTCTGGGCTGGTACTGTTTAGCATACATTCATGCTAGAAGAATTTCAATAATGAACACATTTTCTTTCTTAATAGTAAAATTGGAGAAGAACAATCAGCAGAAGATGCAGAAGATGGGCCTCCTGAACTCCTGGTACACTTTGGCTTTCTTATGGAAGATGAATGTCATAGGCAGATTGGATTGTCATTGATCCATATATCTCAAAAATGAGCCAGAACTTCACATTCTAGCTGTTGTAGATGATTTCAAAATGAGGGTTCTGGAGGTTATCGTGATTGGGCCTTAACATTTACCAAAACTACTAAGTGGAGCCAGTAAGCTTTTACATATGTTTCACTGAGAGTACGTTGAGGACCTGAAAGATAGTGTGTAGTAATTTCTCACTGATTTTAACTGTAATATATCTGAGGGTTGGGGGTGAGCATAATTCCTCTTCAGTTAACAATATTTAACACTTTCCAAAAGGATGGGGAAAAGTTTTAATGACCTGATTTTTAAGTTTCTTGCCCAGAAAATGAATGCTTCCTTGACCTTGTTGATGCCTGTAGTGGCCATCATCTCCCTCCTGTTCCTTTTTGAACCATCTCACATCTCCTCTACCCCTTGAAGGCTTATGCGGTGGTATCTGTCCTTATTCTTCCTGTCTCTCTGGATCCTTCAGTGTATACTTCAAGTCACTTTCTATAAAGCATTGCCAGACATAGCAGTGGTTCTTTGTCTTTGCTGTAGATTCAACATTGGTCTCTTGGAGTCATTTGGCAGATAGTCATTAATCACTGTAGCATATGTGTTATTTAGATCTAACTGCCAGCACTAATTTTTGGTATGCTTTACCCACAAGTTTTAAAAGGTAAAGAAAGCCTTTGAGTAAGCCCTGCCTACAGAAGATGCTCACCACATCCCACCTTGTACAAACACTCTGGCCCTTTAACTCCTTAACCAGTTAGTTGCCACATCCCAGAAGCTCTGGACAGAAACTGGGTGTGATGAGACAGAGACATACCAACATGTTCAGGGTTTGTAACACTGTTAAAGAAGAGTATTTCTCAAACTGCTGCCCTAGCCAGATGATAGTATCTAACTTTTTTTCTATATTGAGCAACTTGTTGTAAAGAGTCTTATTTTATGAAACAGTTTTATATTTGGGGAGGGGGGGACACAGAGCCTCAAGCTGTCCCCCTGGGTAGAGTGCTGTGGTGGCATCATAGCTCAGAGCAACCTCCAACTTCTGGGCTCAAGCGAGTCTCCTGCCTCCGCCTCCCAAGTAGCTGGGACCATAGGTGCCCACCACAACGCCTGGCTATTTTTTTTGGTTGCAGCCATCATTGTTTGGCAGGCCCGGGCTGGATTCGAACCCGCCACCTTAGGTATGTGTGGCTGGCACCTTAGCCACTTGAGCCACAGGTGCCAAGCCAGTTTCATAGTTTTAAAGTAATATTTTCTAGAAAGCCATTGTTCCCAGCTATTTTCACTTTTTTTTTTGGAGACAGAGTCTCTCTCTGTGTCACCCTGGGTAGAGTGCCATGGCATCATAGCTCATAGTAACCTCAAACTTCTGGATTCAAGAGATCTTCTTGCCTTGGCCTCCCCAGTAGCTGAGACTACAAGTGCATGCCATCACACCTGGCTAGTTTTTCTATTTTTAGTAGAAAAAATGCTCTTGCTCTTGCTCAGGCTAGTATCGAACTCCTGAGCTTAAGCATCCTACCAGCCTTGGCCTCCCAAAGTGCTGTGATTACAGTCATGAGCCACTGCACCCAGCTTTCACTTACTTGGTTTCGATAACATCTTTATTGAGATATAATTTACATACCATACACTTAACCTATTTTAAGTGTACAACTATTTTTTTCTTCTGAGACAAGAGTCTCGAGCTGTCGCCCTGGGTAGAGTGCCATGGCGTCACAGCTCACAGCCACCTCCAACTCTTGGGTGTAAGTGATTCTTTTGCCTTAGCTTCCCAAGAGCTGGGACTTCAGGCACCAAACACAATGGCCAGCTCTTTTTTTTTTGTCTTTGTTTTAGCTGGCCCAGGCTGGGTCCAAACCCGCCAGCCTCAGTGTATGTGGCTGGCGCCTTACCCATTGAGTATGGGTGCCGCCTCAACTATTTTTATTTAGTATATTCATAGAATACACAACTATGAACATAAATCCGTTCTAGAACATTTTTATCCCTTCAAAAACAAACCATAGCTATCACCTCCTATTCTTCCTCTTCTAGTCCCTGGCAACCACTAATCTACTTTCTGACTCTGGGCAATTATAGACATTTCATATAAATGGCATCATACAATATGCGGTTCTTTGTGACTGATTTTCACTTAGCATAGCATAATGTTTTCAAGGTTTCTAGCTATTTTTTGACATTACAAGGAGAGAAAAGTATTACTTTGTACATTATAGCTCTGCAACAATTTCATGGTCCTTGAGAAAATCCAGAGCCTGAAATCAAGGGACATTTAGGAGTAGTGAACTATTGTAACTGTAAATGTTAATGTAATAGTATCTTGCTTTGATGACTCCTGTATATATTCCAAGTCCCAGTGATCTTAAAATATTTTCACTTGTGTACCCCTTGACGGTATTTTGAAAAGCTATTTACCCCCACCTCCTATCTTTTAATTAGGTTACATTGCATATAATCTAATTGGCAGGCAGAGACCTTACTGTCAAACTAAGGAGTCAAATCAAACTTTGTCAGAAAGTGACTTCCCAATTAAAAACAATGTATTAATGTTGTCCTTGCAAAGAACAGTTTGCTCTGAATCTTAATTCTAAGAAGGTAAAATAAGACACAGTGCCTTCCCATGAGGTGGTCTCTTGCAGGAAATAAGACTGCCCACTTCAGCATTTTCTAGCAAAGTGTTCTTTTGGTTTAGGCATAACTTACAGAGGGCTCTGGAGCTATAATTTTTTGAGCCCAGGGGATTTTCTTTCTCCCTGGGGCAATGTCAAGATTGATGGGCAAGAGGTATGCTTTTTTTTTTTTTCTTAAGTAAAGGGGGGAGTGGGGACCAAATAGGCTCAGTGTAAAAGTATAAAACATGATCTGCTTGAAACAGATGGATTACCTAACTGTGTAAGTGAATGATACTGGGGTAATGTTCATCCTATTCAGTGTGGAAATGGCATTGTTGTTATGTAGGAAAGCAACTTTATTTTTAGGGGATGCAAGGTGAAGTACTTATAGCCATTTCATTGTATAGGTACATATAAAGCATATGTAAACAAAATATTAGTACTTGGTGAATCTAGGTGAAAGGTATACCGGTAGTCATGGTACAACATTGTCATCTTTTCTAAAGGTTTGGAAATTTACAAAGTGGGTAGGTAGATCACTAGGACTAAAGCCTTCCGCCCCCCCCCCGAAATTATTCATGCTG